TTAGCCAACCGGAAGCTTTGTTTTCTAATTCATCTTATCAAAATATGTAAGAGTTAGCACATTTTATCTTGGAGGTTGATAATTTCCCAAAATTTGTAGACCAGTGTATTTTAAGGTTTGTTTGTCATTTTAATATGGGTTTTATTGCTAGGAATTAATTAGGGTGCTGTGTTTTATTTTGCTCTGTTCTGTCTACTGTCAAACCTCCCCAACACCTTGGTAATGGATGCTTTTTAAAAAGTCTTAAATAAATAAATAAATAAATAAATAAATAAATAAGGGGGCAACACTGGATGCCATTTATTTTGGAGCCTTCCCCAGCCGCCTAGACAGGCTGCAGTACAACTCTCAGAAGTCTCCACTCAACTGACTGGGGGATTCTGGGTTGTCCAACACACTCCCAGAGCACAGGAAAGTCTGCTTTTGCCTGTGTGTTTTTGGAGTATTTTAGAAGTTCCATCAGCCACTTTGACAACTCTAGCCAAAAAAACAGGATAAAGATCTGCTAATGAAACAAATGTGTTTTGACCCTTTACTTCTGAGAAAGTAACATTTAAAGCACTGTATATTTTGGCTTCCTTGCCAGACAAGCATTAGTGGCAACTCCAAAGAACAGGGCTAGGTCCAAACATCGCTTGCACAAGGCAGTTTCTGTCCTCCAGACAAGAGCATTCAAACCATCTAACAGAAACTAGCCTATTTTTAGGTACAATTAAATCGTCTGACAGTGGATGGTACAAGGCAATCAAATGGTGGTTGGATCCAAACAAGAGACACACCTTCTTTACTTTCGGTTGCCTCCACCTTCTCAGCTGAAGGTAAATATTTGTTTGGTAAATGAACAGAGACAAATATATTTTCCCTCTGAATTGCATCCCAGAGCCAGAATGCCAAGTCTAAATGGTAAAAACATCAAGGGAAAAGGAAAATTTCACAACCTTCTGAATAAGAACCTCAGTCAGGCTGGTAGGCAGAACAATGATGTTTTAAGATAAACCTGAAGAGAGCCAGAGAGTAAAATAAAAACAGGAAGAGGAAGAAGACATTTGATCTGGAGAATGAAAAGTTTATTCTATGCACAATGTTCCAAGGCCTGCCATGGGAGCAGAAAAGGGCCAGCGGCTTCCTGAAGAAGCCCTGCTTTTTCACACAGCCTTTGTCCTCCTCATATTGATTTGTGAACTGGAGTCCACACAGGATGACACCGGCTTTTGCTTCCGTAGCTCCATCGCAACTGCATTACAAAAAGTGCAGGCAACAATCGCAGTGCTAGTAACATCAGTATTGGCTCAAGTTTTTTAACAGGGTAAGCATGCAGCCGCTGTCAGCTGCCCTAACTCGTTAGCATTTTATTGTGTATCCCTGCAATTTGTTCCAGCTACCCGGAGATAATCGGATTGAAGGCAGGCTGTCAATCTTTAAAATAAATTTCAATAATGCTACAGTGTTCACAGGGATCTGTCAACCCAGATGCCAATTCTCAAATGGAGTCTCACCACAGAAATATCACCAGCAGGCACAGGTACACTAGGAAAGTATGAGCATTTTATCCTCGTTTAACTGGCACCTAAAGCACCTTGGGAATTGTAGTTTGATGTGGGTGCCTACAAATGTGCTAATGATCTGTAGCTACCTGTCACAGAACAATCAGAGGGGAAAGTTTAAAAAGCCTTGATGTTTGTGGTATTGATATGTTTCATCAGCCCTGGAAGTTGGCAACAAACATGCAGAGAAGCTCTTGAGGTTTAATTCCAAAAACAAGTTTACATTGAAAAAAGACACCATTAAATGGCTGGAAGTCTTTAAAGGAATTGATGGTGTGTGATTATGAGCATATGGTGAGTGCCTAAATCAGAGCTGAAGTTTGAGTCTTTGCACTGTTTTCACAAGTCCTTTCACAACTATTTTTGATTGCCCATGCAACTTTTCTGTATAACCAACTTGGACGATACTTAAAAGGCAAGGGGTGGGGGGAGGATAGATGCTTCCAGACCTACAAGAAACAAGAAACAGGGACTTTTTCAAGGAATTATATGTAAATAAAATACCGGACTAGAATTACACCAATAAATCCAGAAGGTTGGCAATTGCTGTATCTGGTCTTAAGATGTTTATCTGTCTCAGAAAGTATCTTATGCAAGCTGCCTTAAAAGGCAGGAAGGCTGCCATGTGAAGAGGAACAAGGCAAGATCGCTTTCAAAGATAGACTTGTTTTTCTCTCCCGTGAACGCGGTGCCTGAAGAGCAACCTTGTGCTCCCAACGTTCTGCACAGCACCCCAGTTAAAGGACACTTCCCACCCGTGGAACTGCATTTTGAGTCTCTTGCAATGTTTTGCTGCGGTGTTGCTCGAATGGCAAGCCAGCGTCCTCCTCATTCTTCCCCTCCCCATAAAGCGAAGCACGTGACGTGACCGGCTGGCACGCAAGGTTCCCGCCAAGAGCAGCAGGCAAGGAAGCGCGGCAAGGAAATGTGGGGTGCATGACAGCACAGCATTCGTCCTGTGCAGCTGCATTCCACTGGGATGGCCCAGGAGCAGAAAGCACGGCGCTGCCACTCTGGCTCTCGGCCTGGTCAGAAGTGGAAATTCCGGATCAAAAGCCTTGCGTGTCCCGCAGAATCGTCTCCCAGTGAGGAAGCCGGTTTGAGAGAGGGAACCCATGGAATGCTCCCAGCGTGGTCCCCGGCCCCCGGCCCAGGCTCTCTCTGCCGCACGCCCAACTCGCGCGGAGCGTCCGTGCCAACGCCCAGCGGGCACCGAGCCCAGTGCTGCGCATGCTCCTGAGGGCCCCTTGCGGCACACGCCATCCAAGTGCCCGCCACACACGCGGCTCCCTGCTGCCACACACATGGCTTGTGGGCTTGGCAGATGGAACAGGCTTGCAGCCACCTGTGGCAAAACGTGGCAGATGCTGCACACGCGCACCATGCGCTGTCCATGGGTTGCACACGCCGTGCTTGACGCATGGAGACTGTGTGCTTTGCGGCACAATGCTTCACTCGCGTTTGCAAGCGTCAGCGCCCGCTGGTGATCTCAGCCTGACTTGGTTTCCAGGCCCTTGGAAGGGCTGGAATAAGACCCGGGGGCGGGGGCGCATGACCATGGAAAACTACCACGCCACCATGCTCATTCGGATGGCCTCAGTCGATCGGCCCACAGCTTGCACGATCACGACACACACCTACACGGTGTTGGGAGCCGCCCGGTGATTCCTGCAAAGGCACACATGCTGCCAGCGAGGTGATTCGCCCGGGCAGCAGCAAGGTCGCCTTGGCCCGCCCTGGTCCTCCCACTCATCCCACCCATGCGCACAGTCCCCCCCTCCAGCTAGTCACACCGCTGTGTGGAGATCCCTCGCCAAGCGCACTCTACCTGCTTTGCATGGCCACTGCAGATCAGCAGCACGCCGAGTGTGAGCGCGGAGGCGCCTGGGCCCCCGTGACGGACTGGCAGTGAGGAACGCAGGGCGAGGGCCCCTTCCCTCCCCAGCTCACGTCCTTGGGGCTGGTGAGCCCAGGCAAGAGCTGAGATCCCGTGCCTTCCTGCTGAGCCTCCCACTCTGTGTGCATTTCCCTGGGGCACCTGGTCCACGCTGCCCCCACCCCCCCGCCCTGGACGCTGCCCTCCGGCCCATGCAAGCATTTCCCAGCCCCTTCCTTCCTAGCCGCCATGATCAGGCCAGGAGGCGCTGGTTCAAACCCTGCACGCTCTGCACGGGGCCTGCAGCCTGCCGGTGCCTTGCCTGAGCCCTGGGAGCTCCCTGCAGAGCGCCTCCCGGGACACTTTCCTCTGCTCAGAGAGAGCACGTGAGACTTCCAGCCAGGCTGGTGCCCCACCTGAAGTGATTAAGGAGGACACCGCAGAGTAAGGAGGTACAGATGCTGTAAAATCGGTCCCATGTACCTCATTTAACAGACTGCCTGGTGGGTTTTGTTTGGAGACCTGCTCATGGGTGGAATCAGGTTTTGTGAACACAAGTGCACATCTGTGCAAATTTGCATTTGCTGAAATACGCAAATACTCCTAACCTAAATAAATTCATGCAATGTGCATATTTCCATGCTATAGCCGATGGGGAAAATGCACACCAGTTTTTTCTGTGACTAAATATGCATAAAATTACAGAAAGTTAAAAAAATGCAGAAGTTCACACAATCTGCATGTCTTGGCAAAAGCTGGTCCACTGCAAAAGCCTTGGATCAGATTCTTAGAATTTAAGTCTGCTGTGGATTTTTCTAATATCCCTACTCCATATATGTATGTTAATGCCTCATCTGCCAATTTTTTTCATAAGTACAATACAAATCCAGATTACATCATTCGGACTCAGACCCCCTTAAAATCAATAGGAGCTGTTAAATCCCACAGATTTCAGTTGGAACTAAACACAACCAACTCCGTCTGAACCCAACTCAGTTTGTTCTGCACTATTTTTGCACAAGTTCTGCTTCTTCAAACTGACTCACACACAGTGACAGCCCGTGGTTTAAGCAAACTGTGGTTTGTGGTTGAGTTAACTGCTGGGTTCTTTAGGGACTAGCCTACTCAGTCTTCCAGATTCACACTTCATGCTCAACAGGTATGAATAAGCTGCCGGCAGGCTGCTGATTGAAAGCGGAAGTGGCTTTTACACTCCAGGAAGCTGGCCTGTCCTGAAGCCCTTGTACTATTTAAACTTCAGGCAGTTATTATATGAAAACTGGCCCCTGGCCTCCTGCCGCACAAGAAGCATGGGGGGAAATACAGCTTTGCTAGCTCGGCAAACAGCATGAATTACCCTCCTAACAACTCTTGGCTTCCCTCTGACTGCGAATGGCTATTTGATCCCTGGTAGGTTGGAGCAGTCAGAAGCCAGGCAAGCGTGCCGTGAGCATCAGTCCTGAATTGTGGATCACACAGAAACTGGGCCATCAAAGCCATGGACGGGCTGTGCAGCTTGGGAGGAAAGCTCTCCAAGGAGAAGTGGAGCCTCCAGACAAGAACCCCCAAACCAGGCTTACCACGGCCACCGCGTCGCTGGAAAGTATGGCGTTCATATCCAGCACAGTGTAGTAAGCGACGTTGGTCAAGATGTAGATGATGGTCACAACTGGCATGGAGATGGCAATGGCCAGAGGAAGGTTCCTGGTTGAAGGAAACAACAGAGGAACAACCACATCTTAGGAGCAGTCAGTATTTTCCTTCGTTTAGGACAGATCCGAGGAAGCGCTTCTGCACACAGCACATGGCTGAACTATGGAACTTGCTGCCAAGGGAAGTGGCGATGGCCACCAATCTGGATGGCATTCAAAAGGGACTGGACAGATTCAGGGAGGAGGAGGAGGCCATCCGTGGCTGCTAGCCTTGCTGGCCATGGGCTCCCTCCTTCGCCAGAGGTGGTCTGCCTGCACACGCCAGTTGCTGAGGCCTTGGGCAGGAGGAGCTCTTGCACCCACCCTGCTGGAGGGACCTTGTGGACCGCTGGCTGGCCACCGTGTGTACGGGGTGCTGGACTAGATGATCTTTGGTCCAATCCAGCAGGGCTTTTCTTCCATTCTTTGTTAAAATACCAGCTTGGATTCTGGGACACTGGCTATTTCCACCTGGGCATAGTCTGATCTAAGCCTCATATGAAAACTTAGGGTCAACCTACATGTTATATGAACTGCATAGCATGTTGTTTTTGTTGTCCTTTAAAAGGAATGCAAGCAGCCCTGATTCGGATCAGGACCAGCAGCACATAATCAGGAGGAGAGGATTGCACTCGCTTGCTTTCTGAAATTAATCCCTGCATGAAGAAGGTTTAATTCTCCTCACCCAGCACTCACTGGTCTCAATTCAAATCTACAGCAAAACCAAAAATAGAATAGGCTCGGTCGCACCCTGCACAATTAACACTGTTGTTGTGAATAACAATAATACGATGTTGCATTTCTATTCCACTTTTCTTCCTCTTGCAAGTAAGCCTTGTTGACTGACCCAAATATTCCCATTACATTGAGCTAAACAGGAGCAATGCCTCCTTTTTGTTACTCTGTGGTACCGTATGCAGAAAATTACAATGCCTAACAAAAGATGACGCCAGACTCGTTCTCCTGGACGCCATCTTTTATACGCGCGGAGGGAACATCCGTGACCCCTTCGTCTTGCAGAAGGCAGAAACAGGAAGGTTTCTTGAAAAGAACCAGGCCAGCCCAGTTTTGCTGGGCTCTATGGAACTGCAGGAAAAACTTACGGGGACGTGCCAGGTATCAAACCTGCGACCTTCGGCACGCAAGGCAAGGGCTCTTCCCCTGAGCTACACCCCTTCCCTGAAATCCAGTTTGCTGCAGCCCAACTGGATCTGTTGCGTGACTCTTTCTTAGAGATGCAGAATAACCTTGCTAGTTCCAGGGAGAGATACATTTTCAGCCATCAAGAGTCAGTTCCATTTTTTCAGTGGCAGACCCTTGTGAGGTACACCAAACAAATCTGAACAAAACAATAGCTTCAGTAAACTTTTACCTCTCTGGATTTTTTATTTCTTCGGTTACAAAATTGAGGGTGTCCCAACCCGAGTAGGAGAACAAGGCAGAGTAAAGTGCAAGAGAAATGCCCCCAAGGTTCCAAGAGGATCCCTCGAAGGAGTCCTGAAAGTGAAGCGAGTGTCCTGCACGTAAAAGGGAAAGCAGAGAAACACACATTGTGTTAGTACATACAAGACGGAACTACTTAATGCTGACATAGGAATGCTTATGTATACATATGTTTGCATATAACCACCCAAAGAGCTTTGGCTGTGGAGAGGTACGGAAATGGAGGGGGAGGGGGAGGGGGGTGGCGGTGGTAAAATAAGTCACAAAGACTCAGAGGGCATCTCTGACACCCCAAAGTGTGGACCACTCCGCATATTGAGCAAAAGGAGACAGCAGAATGGAGTTCCAACTACCAAATAAGAAGGCGTGTCCAAATGCTGCCCTGCATTAAAAACAAAGGAAGGAAAGCAGGGGAAGACTAGCCAAGGAAGCAGAAGCTCTGTAGTGCTTGTCTCAGATTGCTTCGTGCTATTTTAGTGGCAGGCTGCTCGTGGCAACCCGCATGCAAGCCTGTACCTGTTCGATCAGGAGAGATACTCATCAAATGACGCCACCAGCCTGCAAGGACAGCGTCCGCACTGCCGCTTCAAGCTGTTGCCTCTGTCAGCCACGCTCCTTACCTTTTCTGTTCAGAACAGCTCCCATACAGCCTGAAGCGCCTAATCTTGGAAGCCAAGCAGGGTTGGGCCTGGTTGTAACCTGGGTGGGGGGCTTAAATGTTGTGAACTCCCCAGAGATCTTCAGCTTCAGGTGGTATAGAAATGCAATGTAATATCAACAAGCACCACAACAAAAGCCAGATTATTAGAAAGTCATCTTGATTTCACTTCCACACACATCTAATAGAGATTCTGCCCTTGACTAGATAGTGAAATAAAATTGGAATATCCTGAGGGTCATAGATGCCCACTTTTCCAAGAGCATTTCTAATTTATTATTTAATTTAATTTTCCAAGAGCATGTCAATCTATGCAGCTATCTGGTGGATATACTGTTGTTTAGCCATACATACCTTATCTATGGGAAGGGTTGCTTATCTATCCCACTTGACTTGGTTTTTTAAAATTATATATGGACATTAAAGGGTGTGTAACAGCTGTGATTCATTCATTAATGGTTGCAACAATGCTGCTATCATACACGCTTTTAAAACCGTTGCACTGGTTATAACAGTCAAAAGGAGAAACTGCATCCAGACTCTCCAATTCTCCATTAAAGCAGAACCAATGATACCTAATGTATTTGTCCTTATTTACTTTTCCTCTAATATAACTTATGCAAACTGGGGGAATGAGCACGGGTGCAATCTTTGCTTGCCTGGACAGAAAAAACTTCCGCAACTCCCATCGACCCCCAGAGCTTTAGCCCCTTTTCTGTCTAGACATGCATTGGATTGTGCCCACAACAACAACGTCTTTAAGCTGCATTCAATTATTAAGGTCTCTCCTTGTGGCATTTTCAACCACAGTCATGTCCAGGCATAAACATTTATCACCAGTCTCTCCTACTGGAAATGTGTACAACTCATCTTATCCTAGAAGTAAAAAGAGAAGGAAAAAGAAAACACAAATTGCTTCGGCTCCAAAAGCCACAAATAGCATGGCCTCGTGACTCGCCTTTGGACATGTGCTGACGGCATGGGCAACCTGCTCACAGTGTGCTAAAAAAATGCTTCCTGTGCATTTCTCCCGAAGGGAATGCCCCTTTTTTCTTCCAAGGATCTGTAAGAGACCCTCTGATTTTCCTGGATTAGCTGGCTTTTCAACCCACATCTGACCATCTTGCTGCCTCCCCCGACCCCAAATCTTTCCATCTGACGTTTTCCTGAAGCCAAAGGCCCCCCTACATCAAAGGCCACCTGCCCTTTCTAAGCACGCAAGAGGAAGGAGGCAGCCAGCAGTGTCCTTACAAGAGAAGCTCCTTTAAAGCATCTGTAAATTAGCATCTTTATCCTATCCGTGGAACATGCTCCCAAAGGAGAATCGCCTGGCACTGTCCTTGCTCTCCTTTCGGTGCCAGATTAAAACTTTATTTACCAGACATTTTAATAATTAACTAAAGACTGGTTTTAATACTGTTTTTGCTGATGTTTTCAAGATGCAATTGTAGAATAAGTTGTGTCTTTTCCCTTTATAGCCTTATTGAGTTGCCAAGTTCCGTGCATTCTGTTTTTGCTGCTGTTCATGCTTTCATTCCGTTTTATACTGTACACTGCATCTTGAGATCCAGTCTCACTCACTTCCAGCAGCACATCATGGGAAAACTCGGCACAGAATGAAAGACAGGACCGCTCCAGAGAGAAAGCAACCAGCCCTGGCCGAACAAACACGGACTCCCTCAGCCAAGCAGCAGCTCAGCATGGCTCTGGTAGGAGTGCCCCAACCCACCGCACCGCAAATGCATGAGGCGGCCCTGAAGGTTCCAAGCCATTGACCTGATATCCTGAAGCAACAGTCTGAAGGACCCAGGCTGCCGGTCTTTGAGAGCAGACTGGAACTGCGGACTTGCCACCACAGCGAAGACATAGTATTCCTGGTGTACAAGTGTACACTCAGCTTGCAGCGTGTGAAGGGTGGAGTCCAGAAATGAGCAGGTGAGGAAAAGAACTGAGGTAATGCAGAGAATAGTCAACCAGCTTCAAAAGGAGCCTTGCGAATCGGACGAGCACAGTGAAAGCTCTCAGCTGAGATAAGAAAATCTGTGTCCTTTACATCTGCGGGGTCCAAACCGATCCCCCGCATGGAGCAACAGAAGGATCCGTGTCAATGAAACACGAAGAGCTTCCTCAGTACAGAAAAGGATTGACTTCTTCAGGGTCCCAAACGGGTTGAATTCCGCTGACCTTATCCAGGGCCGTAAAGTATCTGGAGAGACAAAACACTCTCGCTTGAGGAATCCTGGCTGAGTCATGGTGGTCCTCAGGCAACTTGTTGCCAAGGCAAAAACAGCCTTGTGTGCCATCACTGCCCAGTCATTTGCTACATCAAAGCCGAGGTGGCTGACGAACCGATCCCGCATTCGGCAAGGTCCATCTGTCACCCTCTTTGCTGATGGCAGAAAGTACATTCTATGCAATTTGGTCTGCAGTGCCTCAGCCATGGTGGGAACCAGCAGGTTCTCTCTGCTGGACCGGCAACTTCTTCTCCAGCCACCTGGAAGGGGCCTTCCACGACTGTCTGCAGAAAGGTTGGCAAGAAAGGGATTGCTGACGGGTGTGATGCTTCGGTGCAGACAGCACTGAATGCCGGATCCTTCATCCTCCCTACTGGTTGCTGGGCACCCAGCCTGGGGGACCGAGCCCTTATTTGGATCTGTTCAGCAAAATGACTGGGCTCCTCCGATGGAGAAGCAGGATGAGTTGCACCTACTGCAGCAGGAGGATAAGACCAGGAGAGGGCCATGGGTGAGCAAGACGCTTCGTCGTCAGCCCCAGAGCCCCTTAACTTTGGGCGAGTGTCACTAGCAAAGGTGGGTGAGCGTCCTCGGCTCAGCTGTGAGGTGGAGCTGCAAGCCCAGGAGCTGAACACACCGGAATGTTTGCAGGGCATAAGCCCCAGGGGCTCACGGCAGGGAAGACATCCTGTCCCACAGAGGAGCAGGAACTGCAGGTCCATGTGAACCATGCCAAGGGGAAACTACCCTTCAGTATCAGCAACCACCACAACAGTGTCATGGAGGAAGAGTCATCCACGGAAGACGAAACGTGGGATAGCCAGCATGGCGGGTCCCGACCAGAGCCAGGCAGCCAAGATGCTTTTGCCATGGGTGGCCTTTCGCTGGAAGAGCAGCCCAAGCCCTCCTGCGCCATCCCTGGGCTTCCCCCAAGGGCAAGAGGCAGGGCTGGAAGGAATTCGCCGCTTGGAAAGGAGGAGAACTGCGCACGAGCACCTGAAGTTCAGACGGAGGGCACGGCGTGGGGCCTCCCTGCAAAGCGACAGGCTGACCTAATTGGCCAGCTGCGCTGGTTCACAGCCAGCAGGAGTTTAGCCCAGTGGGAGCCGGACAGCAGCGTTCCGATCTGGAGCTTACCTTGATCTTCTGGACTGGATGGATTCCTTGGCCTTTGGCTACACACCTGGGCCATTCTCTCAGTCACCCTGCCTGACCTGGATGCTTGGCACAATAAGCCCTGCAGACTAATCTCTGGACTGAACTGGCTTCCCCTTTGGTTACTTCCCGAAGATACATTAGCCTGAAGCAGGCACTCACTGACACATGAGCAGAATGGTTCAGAGCCATCCAGGTAGCAAGGACCGATCAGAATGCTCACCCGCCACTGAAGCCAGCTGTGATCTAGGCACCAGTTTCCCCGGCAATGGTCTGGAAGACCGAGGTTTGCACCCGAAGATTTAAAGGACACAGGCTCTCATGGCAGTTCAGAGCAATTTTTAGTTTCTAGGTTGCTAATTTACAGAAATGTTTCCGACTTTGGGAAATCCTTAATTCACATCACTGAATTACGTTATGTCCACGAATGAATTACGTACATCCAATTAAATCATCACACATATTTATCACTATCACTTCTATACCACCCAGTGGACAAAGCTCCCTGGGCCATTTACAATTCCTAAAACCAGACCTTAATGTAGTAGAATTATTCCAAAGTACAAAACTTAAAAGTTTTACAACTAAAACAATACTTAATGGAGAACAAAACTATTTAAAACACCTGACACCTGATCAATTTAAAGACAATTATGTATTTAAATACCTTGGCACAGAGGACAGTCTTAAGCTAGGACTCAGCATGGCAGCACCAGTGACCAGCTAGTCCTCACTGAGGAAGTCATTTCACAGCTAGGAGTCACCACTAAACAGGCTCTTTCCCGTGTTACCACCCTCTGAGGTGGACTTGAGAGTGTCTGGGGAAGTTGCTTGCAGTGTCTGAGGAGACTGAGGCTGGGCTGAAAGAAGGCTACCATAGCTCTCCATTTACCAATTTAAAATAAAATAAAATCAGTAATCGGTATTTCTGACTTGGAATCTTTTCCAAGTGGTTTTTAATGGCTTTTGGTTGGAGTTTCACACAAGCAGTTTGAGGGAAAAAATGGTTCACTTGTCATGGACTGCCTGAACAATCCCAAAAAGTGCCGTGCAGCATCTCAGCTTGCAGTTGTGGCCGCATGTAAGAAAATCAGGGCTCGACTGAGTGTCTCTTTGCACCGTCTCACCCTCTTGCAATGCGCCAAAATAGCGCCAAGGCACAACAGCCTTAGTTAAGTGTAGCAAGGATAATAAAATGATGTTGCTAAACGGTGCATATTGTGCAGTATTAAGGTATTAGTCTGCACAAGCCCTTGTGGCTGAACAAAGAAAACACACACAGCACAAAACACATTTTCAGCATAATGGAAACGCAGACTTCCGATTTTCCCAAGTCAGCATATTAAGAAGGCTTCCAAAACAGGAATAAAAGTTTGTTTGTTTTTTAAATCAAGGGGGAAACTCGGATAAACCTACAATAGGTTGGATACTATCGCTCATTGGAAAAACAAGGCAACAAGCCCAGCTGTTCAAAACTGAACAATAGACACGAAAAAATGTGACAGAAGGGAAAGCACAACTTTCTTCTGGGTCGGTTTTAAATGTTTGTAACAGGGCTGGCTCGGAGGTTCTGCTGCTGCTTAAACAGAAGTATTCTGAGAATACATTGCCAAACTAAATATGGCATTAAATGGATGTGCACATTTTTTGTCAGCACTAAGAGCCACTGTGGGGAAATGTGCAAGTTCAAGACCCAACTCTCACCTCACAATGCGTGTTTACATTAAGGAAAAGATAACGTTAGTTTGGTCCTAGAACTGAATTTATCAAACCCAAATGACGCCTCCAAGACATTTTCCACAATCTGAAAAGAGAACTACAAGAATAGTCCGCATTTCTCACTGAAAATGTTGCCGTTTGAAAAGCCAAACTATTGTTCTGCTTGGAGAGGATTTCCTGAACCAGTCGCCATTATTACTTGGACGACTGGAGATACAATCAGGTTCGGGAGTGTTTATCCTGCTTCTGGCTGGGAAGGGCCTTGTTCAAGCGTGTGTTCCTGGGATGCCTCCAGCTAGAAAACTCCTGGAGTTACCAAGTGGAAGTCACTGAGCTGCTTTTCTGTCTCTTCTTTCTTAAGGGATGACAGTGGGGGAAGCTGTGGGAAAGGGGGATGAAGGCAGCATCTGGGCCTCTCCATGGCATGCAGCGGAGGAGGAAGGATGCCGCTGCAACCAGAGTCTCTCTCACACCCATGCACAGCTCTACCAGGCAGCAATTGCACCGATTCTGTTGGAGCAGCTGGACACAGATGCGCAGGCCACAAACCAACTCACAGGGTGGGGAAATTCACTTGAGGAAAAGCTTGCACAGGTCAGCTACACTCAAGATAAAAAAGCCGCTGCATTTGCCCAATTCTTTAAGGCCGCCCTGCTGCAGAGCAGAACGTGAAAGAAGGAATCGGGTTCCTATGTAACAGCCAGCGATGGGCAGAAGGAACACCACTTACTAGAGCCATTACTGGTGCATTGAATGGCTTTGCAACTGCTTTGCAGAAGCACATGTGTTTCAAGCCAAGTATGCAGAATGCGGCAAAAAATCCTGCATCTTTAATTGATTTTTTAAAATCAAAAAATCGAACAGCCTCGATGACATTACATTCAAATAAAACATATACAAGGGCTTTATTTCATACAATTGTTCCCCCTTCAAACTGATGTTTCAAATCTAATTACCAGCCCCTCTCCCTTGGGATATATTAGAACAAAACTCCTAAACAAGTAAATGATTTGGTTAGTCAAAAATGTGAGGGGTGTGGAGAAAACCTTGGTTTACATAACACTGTTGCTACAACCCTGAAGCAGGCTCGCTAGAAAATAAACTTCGGTGAACTCAAGCTGCGTTGATGTACATCAGCTGCAAGAGTAAAGCAAAGTTATTTTAACATTTGCACTGGAATTTTCAGTTTTCCCGGAAACCCGCAGATACTACAAAAATTTGCATTGAATGCAGACTCTTAGTAACACTCCTTTTCCTGAACTGCCTAACAGAAATAGTTAAGCCAAGATCTCAGCAGCCCAGCTATTTCAAATTAACTGCCTGAAGGGACTAAAGAAGTCCTGGGGTTAACGGGAGGGCACATGATGCAGCCATCTGCTATAGCTAAGCCGATTATTTTTGCTGGCCAGTGCCTGTAGTCTAGCAAAGATAATGGGGAAAAGGCACTGAACCAGGGCAAAACTGAGCAGGTTCATTTTCCATTCAGAAATGATACAGCCAATACCCACCAAAATCAGAGCATGGAATCTCCCTCAAATTCGTATTTCAAAATGATGGTCACTTGTTAACCTGCCCAGAAGCATCATTTTCCCTTCAACCCTTCTTTTTCCATTTCCTTATCCCAGTGTCTAGTAATTAATTGTCTACGAAAGTCTACAGAATATGCAGTCGCAGAAATATGATGTATTTTATATATGGTATTTATTATTCATAATAAATATAAAATAATTTTATAATAAGAAAAAGGGGGGTGTCTGTCAGTGCCATAGAATCAAGTCATGAAGCCTGGGCATGCATATGAAGGAGATCTAAGGGTGAGCACCATGGGATTAATTCATTCTAAAAATGCATTCATTCCGTTTAACTAATTTAAATGGGTTTGTGTTTTTGAACCCTGCAGTTACAACTGCAGTCGCAGTCTCCAGCTGAGCAGATACATTTGCTTGAGGGAACCACAACAGCTGTTCCAACCTGTGTGAAGCCAGGCCTTTTCACCAGCACAGAACAATAAATAACAAGCAAATGCCACTAAGTTAAACAAGGAAACTTTTTCCAGGAAAAGCAGTTGTGGTGAAACTATTCGCAATTGTCACAGTCTTTACACTCCACGGTCCAGCCGTCACATTCAATGGCCTGGCAGTTGCCCAAACTAGCTCAAGAAAAAAACTTAGGTTTGCATCTACAACATAGCATTGAAAACTCTGTTTTGCACTTTTACCTAAACTATTTCTCAAGTCAGTTAGCAATTTGAGTCACATCAGACCCGATGGACCATTGCATCTGGTCTTGGAAATAGCAACCTTCATGCTGCATCAAATTTCTGCAATGGGGAAAAATCCTGCAATATAAGGCAAATAATGAATACCAGGGCAAAAAGTTGGATGTTGCACACCCAAGTAACAAATCGTGGCACACAGGATTTCTGGGGGTATATAGTTACTTAGAAATGAATGTTTCTGTTACAATTTTGCCTGCATCATATAAGTTTTTTCCTATTGTGGTTTTCCCAGGTATGATCCCACCTAGAAACCATGTAGACACCACCTTCAGTTCTACAAGGTGGAACATAACTACATTTAATTTTATTTATTTATTTTTCGATTTATATCCTGCCTTTTTCCTACAAAGGGCTCAAGGCAGCTTACATCATTCTCCTCCTCCATCTTATCCCCACAACAACCCTGTGAGGTAGGTTGGGCTGAGAGTCTGTGACTGGCCCAAAGTCACCTAGTTGGCTCCATGCCTGAGTGGGGACCAGAACCCAGATCATCTGAGTCCCGATCCCATGCTCTTAATCACTACACCACACTGGCTCTCACACTGGTTCATTAATAAAATTAATGAACTGATTTTAATATCTGATTTCCCTTACCGTATGTCAATGCAAAGTCAAAGTTATGTCCATGGACACCAATGTGCCCTTGACACCTTTGGTGTTACCTGCCAACCCTTTGAAATTGACAAATTTGCTTAGCAGCAGCAGCTGAACTAGTAGAAAAATAGGTTTCTGTTGGTGCTAAACCTGGGTTCAAAGGAGTTTAGTGTGTTGTGGTGCAGACCCTCTTTCTGCTTTGTACTCGGCCTTTGTGACTTTTCTTTTGATGTGTTTCTCATGGAAGCCATTTTGTGGTGGTGCCCAGGAATTTATTTTCCAGTAGCCAAATCTGCCACAGCCCAAAATGTTTCCCTACCAGCGATAAGCACCAAGTCACGAGCTACTTTTTCCTAACAGAAACGCAGATGCAGTATCCCTGGATCTTCATCATGGGACAGTGTAATTTTTTTCCAGAAATCAAGTGAGAAAGTCCTCCTTAGCTGGCTGGGCAGTGCTGGGAATTGTAGGGTTTTCCTTTTGTCTAAACATGCATGGGACTGCGCCCTGGCTTACTGGGAGTTCTTATTCTCAGTCAGACTTCCACACATGCTTAAAAGAACAAGAAGATGCAATTTCTACTTTTTATAAATACAAAGAGGTCCAGTTAAAAAGTTGCTTAGCATACTGACCTGGATTGGCCTATTGCAGCTTTTATTCACGAATAACCAACATTATTGGCGCTCCTCAACATTTTTTTCTGATAAATACAAACCTCTATACATTAAACTATTAATCTTACCCTGGCATAGTTTAACAATTCCTGTTACGATGATGGCAATAAGGGCAATGACTTTGGCATAGGTGAATGCATCCTGCACTCTTGTGCCCCACTTAACATAGGCACAATTTATAAGCGTTAGAAGACCTAGGAGACAAAAAGAGAAGCAAGGAGAGCATTAGCAAGTGGCTCGATGGTTTTTAAGTCAAGCGTGGGCTTGAAATTCTCTTCCATTCCAACGTTAACATGTCACAACTACGTATTAGTACATACAAGCTGAGCGGAACTACAGTGCTTAACAGAGGATGTAAGCTACCCTTCAGTTTGCTTTTTAATCCTTGCTTAGTTTATAACAAACTGCTAAGTACAGACACACACATATTTTTATGGAAAAAGTCTAAAAGGCATGGAAATGCTTCTTGGCCCAAAGCCCAGTCTTGCATTTATCATCTTGCAATGAGAACCTTCAACCGTAAAGACTGGAAAGCATTTGTTTTCTAATTAGCAATGTTCTTGTCGAAAATAAGAACTCCGTTATTTCTAAGACAACACCAGGCAGCATCAGCATCGGGATTTAACAAAGCAAAAGCAGTAACCAGACCTGCAGTTAGGAAAAAGTAAGAGCAGTTCAAATGCGCTTTGGTATGTTTTGTACCAAAAATATGTAAGATGGAGATCTCTAACTCCCTGTCGACGTATTTCCTCATTCACAGCCTCATTCAGAAAATTCAGAATAGCTCAAGCAAATATCTGCACGGTAAGCTGCCCAAAACATACATTTTATATTACTGAATATAAATATATTACTGAATATAATATATTACTGGGACTTCAGTAAGGAGCGCCCCCAAGATACGAAGTCAGTATCATCAGAAAGCAACAATTCAGACTTTAAATACAGAGGCACCTTGGCGCACGAACTTACTCCGTTCCAGGAGTCTGGTCATGAGCCAAGCTGGTCGTGAGCCAAATTCCCTCATAAGGGTCAGTGTAAATAAGGTCAATCCGTTCCATAACCTTTTTTTTTTAATCAGAAAAATGTGAAGAAGCAAAGTGACAGAATCACAAAGATCGCCGCCATCGCCTCCCGCAAGCGATCTTGCAGGGGGGGGTGGGGGGAGACGGGCACGGTCATGGGCGCACGGGGGAGGCAGGTGTGGGCGCGCTCGGGCAGGGAACACGGGTGCAATCGCGGCCATCTCCTCCCCCCAAGCACGACCACGATCGCGTCTGTGCAGGGAAAGTGGGCGCGTTCACGATCGTCACCCAGTGTGGAGTTCGCGACCTGCAGCAAAATTTTTATGGAATTTCCATTCAAGACCTGATTTGGTTGTGAACTGAGGCATTCGTGAGCCGAGGTACCACTGCAGCAGCACTGAAGAGACATATTGCTCTGTATTTTGGGGGTGAAGAAGGGTGCTAGCCCCACCTTTAAAACTATCGTCAAAGGACACTGAATGATGGAATTAGTAAGCAATCATTCAAGGGAGCAGGCTTATGCAGGTCTCTTCTTCCTCCGCCTCCCCGCTTCACATTGCCAGATTTATTTGTTTGTTTATTAAAAGCGTTCATAGGCCACCCACTTCGAGCATCTCAAGATGACTTACAAGGAAAAAACATCTTCCTCTGTTTTCAGATTGTTCTAACCATGTTGTCCCATGACACTCAAGTCAGGCAAACCATGGTTAGTGGTAACCCCTAATCCCAGGCTGCAAACGCTCTTCACTTTCTTTTACCAAAGTATGCTTATCCAATTTGGATATCAGTTACCCGGGTAGAAATGTATGTAGAAGAAATTGCAGTCTATATCCCATTGCTTCCAACCTTAGGGGATTATCTCACCTGAGTCATTATAATGCCTTTTTAATTTAATTTTTAATTTAATTTAATTTAATTTAATTTAATTTAATTTAGAAACAAAGAAATAGGAAAGATTTCACATTGGTAAGATCGTCCTTTTATAAAAACTATGCCCAGGGAATATTCTCACCACTAAAATTGATGGAAAGTAATTGACTGACTGTCTGAGGCATTGTGGGAAATGTAGGCCTTTTTCTGTCTAAACATCACAAAGACAGCTGTACAGGGCTATGGGGATAAACAGCCAAAATCCACAGCTGGGCAATCCCTTTATTAGAAACAACCCAAATTCCACAAAAATGTTCAAACTTTTCAGTTCTTTGGGATTTTTCATCAGGCTTGGATGCACAAACAGCAAAGGATTGGAGAAGTGTACTGGAGAATACCCTTCCATCAGGAGGACTTAACAGTGTAACGGTGACAAATTAATGCACCTTTTCCAGGTACCAATTTCAATCTCTTAATTCCCATGTTTGAATGTTTAAAGAAAGAACACAGTGAAAATATTTATAACCTCTGCAAAAAGAATGAGAAACATTTCCTTATAACCCAAAGAGCAATGAAGTAATAATAATTAGTAACAATAATGTTACTGATGATGTCCCTATTATTTTCCATTTAAGTCCTGTGCCCAGGGAAATGGGCAGAGCTGAGTAAAAGCAACAGTGCAATTCCGCATCCAGTCTGCATCCCACAATGTGAAGTCACAGAACTCTGGTGGGTCTTGCAGAACAAGCATCTGAAAGGAACGTTTTCAAACGCTGCTTAATGTATTCTTACCATGCCCCTTGGCCACAGGTTATTCAGAGTAAGCCAAAGCTATTTGAAAAGCCAAAGAGTATTTTATGAGAACACAAATATCTAATGCAATGACTCAGTAAACAAGAAGGTGTTGAAATTCTCCACCCTGATGCAGCCGAAGATTATCTGGTGCTTTGGGCGGTGATGACAGAAGTTGAATTCACAAATGCTTGGCCCCACCTGGCTCCTCTTATCCCAGGTAAGACCGCAGCATGCAATGAACATGATGTAGTCCCTGAAACTGGAAAGCTCATGACATAAGTGGTCTATTCCCCAGTGTTCACTCTGGAAACACATACCCATTTCAGTGAATTTAAGCCATCTAAAAATTCAGTTGGAAAACTAACCCAATTCTAAGCACTGGTGACCAGCAACTTTCAAGTTTTGCTACGGATTCTCAATGAGAATGAGTTTCAACTGGGCCATTCCAAGACTATAAGGTTCTTGATTCTAAACTTTTCCGGTCTTACATTGGCTGTGTGCTGGCATCACTGTCCTTTGGAAGAGGAACCTGCACCCTTGCAGACTGAAACAGGCTTTCTTCTAGAATTGCCCCACGTCTCGAATTGCTCTGTATCGTCTTGCCCTCAATCCTCAGCAGTTTCCTAGTCCGTGGTGAGGAAAGGCATCCCCACTGCAGGACGGTGCCACTGCTATGAGCAGACAGCACTCTGAAAAATGAGCACTTTTGGCTTTTCACCACACATGGCCTTTTGCAGCAAGGCCAAGAAGTTTAATTTTGGACCTCTCAGATCAGAGAATATTTCCCAACAGTTTGCGGTGTCTCCCACCTGCCTTTTCTGCAGACTCCAAATGCTGCATTTCTTCTCACCGTTCTTCCATAAAGCCCTGCTCTGTGGCATGTCTGGGCCACAGCTGCCTCCCAGATGCGCCCCATCTCAGCTGCAAATCTTTCATTCCTCCAGGGTTATCACTGGGCTCTCCAACAGTTTCTGGGTCCTTCCAGGAACTGCTGTATTTAGCCTGAGATTGTGTGAACCTGGCACTGTGCATGGGTGAACTCCATTCAACTGATTTACCAGATCACAACAAAGGGGAGAATGTTCCTGCTTGTCTTTGGCTATTGAACCCAATAAACATATTGTACTCCTTCACTGCGTTGAGACTATACATCAAAAATGCCAGTTCCATCCATTTCAATTCCTGGCTGTAATACAACAAAAATTTGGAAAAATCCAAGGTGAGTGTTGAATACTTCTGCAAACTTCTACCAATGCATGCAGCCTTTCTTTCCTTCCTTCATGGCACACCACAATGAAATGTGCAAGCCCCTAATTAAGATTTATTTCCTATTCTCTCCAATCTGGGAAACTATAGTTATCAACTCTGGAACAAGTCAGGACTTTAAACCACCCTCAAACTGTGGTTTACTTACCCAGGTTGTTCCAACCTAGTAATCATAGGCCCAGCATATACATAAGGGTTAAGCAGCCCAGAGTTTAACCCCATGATAAACCGTATTATATTGTTGGGTTAAAACTCTGGGCCATTTGTTCCTATTCTAGGTTCAGGCATCTCTTCAAACAATGCAGGAATGGGGGGCCACTGGGTTGCTGATTAAAGTTGAGCGACAGTAGAAGCAACAGGCATGCGGGAGGCGCTCGCTCCGTCCCGCTAATTCATGGGTTAAGCAACTCATGAACTGGCACTCTATGCGAACTGGGTTATAGTTGCTCTGTCCAGACAAAACAGGAAAGTACGGTTAATTGGAGACTTCCACATCTAACTGAAGCACACAGTGCAGAAATGGAAGTAGTGGCTGCACGCACAGACAAACGGCTGCAAATGTCCAAACACAGCCCCCGACCCAGTTCTGGACCAACAGTAATTGTTCCAGCTTGCTATTTTGGGCAAACATGCACTGGGGAGAGAATTCAAATGCACAAGGTTTTCTAATAGAAATAATAACAGGGCAATGACTCGATACCATTTCATATGCCTGTCTAAGGATATGATTCTACCATTTAAGGACGCAATTTCATCATTTAAGGACTCGATTCTGCTGTGCCATCCCATAGTTTTGTGCATGGAAGAGGTACGGAGATAAACAAGCATCCACTTCTGTTTTACAATATTAGAACCCAGGAGCACCTGGCGGAATTGTTCTTGCTTACTGCCGTTGACTGTATGTGTCCAGTTCCACTTTTCCTCCAAAGAATTCAAAGGTGGCTCAACTACCTCACAAAAACCCAGTGAGGCAGGTTAAGATGCAACGGCCTGAGGCAGGGGCCCTCAAACTTTTTCAACGGGGGGCCAGTTGAAAGGGGCCAGCGATGGACGTGGGCCGCCAAGGCGGTGCGGGCGGGGGGCGTGGGCCAGGGCGGAGGGGGGCACGCATGTGCGGCGAAGCAGGGGCGGGCACAGGCACGGAGGTCCTTTTCTCCGAGCGGTCCAAAACGACCTCCGCACGAGCAAGCCGCTGCCTTGGCATGCAGGCATCGAGCCCCAAACCTCTCTGGCAGGCTGGATAAATGGGCGTGGCAGGCCGGATCCAGCCCACGGGCCGCAGCTTGAGGACCCATGGCCCACGGCAACCGGAAGAGCCACGTGGCTGAGCGCGGTCCACATAATCCGTAGAACAGGCAACCTAGAGATCCAGGTTCAAACCCCAATTCAGCATGAAGCTTTCTGGGCACCCTGAAATCTGTCGCTGTGGATGATGGGAGCTGGAGTCAGAGAGGGAAACCTTTTCTGTGGCTAGTCCATTGTCACAATCAGGAAAGCTACTGATGATGTGCGACGATTCGCAAACATGTTCATATCTGACTTTTGTACTTGATTGAGAGAGCAACTCTCTCAAGGCAAGGCTGTGAAAAGAGGCCTGCTGGATCCCAGCCAAGGCTCACTTTCTGTTCCCACCAAGGGCAGCCGACTGCCTTTGCAACAGCACTTCCCCAGCCATGTTCCCCAGCCACGCTGCGGGAGGTCACAGGGCGCGTCCGGACTAGCAGCCACAAACAGCCCTCTCGTCCCTTGATCCCTTTCAAAGATATTCCTCTCGACATCTTGGGCCAGCAAGCTCCACACACCCAGAATCGCGGGGGGGGGGGGCACGGCGCACGATCCCTTCCCATCCCTCCTGCAGGCGCCAGCAGAAGAGCCAAGCCACCGCTCCCCCAGTTACCAGAAAGCCACCCCACCTGCAGGGCAGGGCACAGGATCTTCAGAAAGCTCCGAGCTTCCACCTAGCTGGCTCTCCTGTCCAACTGAAACTGGAAATGCAGGGAGCTGTAAGCCCCGTTTTTGTCCAAGGATCCACAGGGCTGCACACTCAGCCAGGCCGTGTGTGTTTCACAGCTCTGATTACAATGCAATCTTAAAAAATATTTGCTTGAGCAAGAATCCAGTATGGAGCCAGGACTCTTGGGTGCAACAAGATCTGGAGACTGCAATACCCATCATTTCTGACCATTCATCGGGCTGATTCACACAAAACCATCAGGTGGTAATTCATGAGCTTTCTGGTCCCAAAGCACCTGATGTTCAGCACAATGGGTCATGCAACAGTTAATGCTGATTTCCGAGAGGACCCAAGATGCCTTCCTGCCTTTTACCAACCCCGTAAGGATCTTCTTCTCCTTCCAACATCTCAGTCAACTAGCAATGGTTCCTCTGACTAACTTCTTAAAGACTAACACGTTCATACCATAAGCTTCCATGATTTAAATGGTTGCTTTAAATCAGGCTTACCAACAACCTCTCCAGGACCAGCTGTTAATGACAAGCAGGGAATGGCCATTGTTTTCCAGTCCTCTTTGTGATTTTCCAGATGCAGCTGTTGGAAACTGTATACTAGATCAGCTTGCATGTTGGCCGATTCCTCTAAGGCAGCTCTCCCTAGACCATGGGTCCTCAAGCTGCGGCCCGCGGGCCGGTTCTGGCCTGCCATGCCCATTTAGCCGCCCACCATAGAGGTTTTGGTCTCGCCGCACGCGCTTGCTTGCAAGGAGATTGTTTTGGGCTCGCTCGGAGAAAAGGATCTCCTTGTGAGCAAGCCGGTGTCTCGCCGCACATGCATGCCCCCCAGCCCGGCCCGTGCCCCCCACCCACACCACCTTGGCAGTCCGCGTCCATCGCTGGCGCCATTCAACTGGCCCCCACTGAAAAAGTTTGAGGACTCCTGCCCTAGACCGATGCCTTTTGGATGTGTTGAATTGCCACACCTGTAACCCCTTAGTCAGAAATTTGGCTGAGAAATTAGGAATTAGTTGTAACCTAATATATGGGGAGGGGCAGCTGCTCACCCAGCCCTGGACACTCTTAACAGGCTCTCTTGCTCCCATTTTTGGTTGCCCATGGCTGGCCAGCATCCAGACCACGTGGCCATGCCCACCACCTCTGGGCAGGGCTGTGCTTATCGTGATCAGAAAAGCCTTTCCCCAGAATCAGGGGATTCTCTCTCAGGCCAGGGAAGGTGCAAAGCCCACTCAGAGCTCCAGCCAACATCTCCTTTCGCCAGGCCTGGATCTGGGCTCCTTACACTTTTTCAACAGGGGGCCAGTTGACAGGTGCCAGAGGTAACTGCGGGCTGCCAAGGCGGTGCTGGGGGGGAGGCGCAGGCCGGTGGGAGGGGGGATGCGCACACATGAGGCAAGGCGGAGACAGGGGGGCGGGGGGGCAAGGCACCGGCTTCCTCGTGAGGAGATTGTTTCTGAGCAAGTCCAAAACGACCTCCTTGCAAGCAAGCCGTGCATGCACCCAGTGAGTGCAAACCTGTGGGGCAGGCCAGTTAAAAGGGCATGGCGGACCGGATCTGGCCTGTGGCCCTTAGTCTGAAGACCCATGGTCTGGATGATCCCAGAATCAGTGCTGTGAAACGGACACTTCATTTCCACCGGAGAAAACCCCGTGGATTTGTTCCCAAGCACAGATGCACTTAGCCAGACTCAAAGTCCCAACACCAAATGGGAAAAGATCATTTGTTGGCGTCCTGGCAACAAAGAAACATAGAAACAGAGCAAGTCAGAAGGGGTCTCCCGGGCCATCTAGTCTGACCCCCGGCTCCAGCCAGCTCCGCTCACGACATGCCCACCATGTGCATGCCCAGCCTATCCTTGAACACCCGCACTGATGGGGCCTCAACCACCTCCCGTGGAAGCCCATGCCACACCCTCGGGGTCCTGTCTGTCAGGAAGGACTTCCTGGCATCCAAACAGAACCTGGGTTCCCTGAGCTTGGCCCCACTGGAACACATCCTGCCCTCCACTGCAGGGGAAAATGGTCATGACCCACCTCTGTGTGGCACCCCCTCATCTACCTGTATGTCACTAACAGGTCCTCTCCAGGCTGAAAGACCCAGCTCCCTCCGTCTCTCCTCATATGGCTTCCCCTGCAAACCAACCACCATCCTAGTGGCCCTTCGCTGCACTAATTCCAACCTTGCTATATACCTCTTGTAATTAGGGATTCGCCATCTTCCCCTGCCCCCAAGGTAAATTCTTGCATTTAGAAAAAGGGGAAGGAAGAGGCCCAAACGTTGCAATTCCCCTCTAGTCTTCAGTGGAAAGTTCCCACAAGTGTCCTCCTTCACGCAAACAGCAGGATTTCATGCAAACCTGCCCAAGACTATTGCACTCCAGTGGTTCTCTTCTCATAAGTTATTAACCGCCGTGGACGCACGCAGTCCCTCCGCAACGGCACAGCCCTTGCAGCCGCTGCCCAGTCGGCTCTTCCTCGCCCCAGCCCGAGTGTGCCCACGTGCCGAAGCACCGGCTTCATGGCATACTTACAGATGCAAGCAGCTGCAAGGAGACGGCAGGCCACATACGGAGGCTGGCAGGAAGGGAAGATGGGCTGGACGATGTAGTTGGCAAAAGTTATTGCGATAATTGCCTGGCTGGTCGGCTCGATTATTAGCAGGGAGGTCCACAGGCGAATGAAGGCAATGAAGCCTCCGAAGGCCTCCAGGATATAGGCGTAACTGGCTCCCGACCTGGTGATCGTGGTCCCCAGCTCAGCGTAGCAGAGGGCTCCGATGACCGAAAAGACCCCTCCAATTGCCCAGATGACAAGTGACAGTCCGTACGAAGAGCTGTAGTGAAGTACTCCTTTGGGGGAAATGAAGATACCGGAACCAATCATGTTTCCCACTATGAGACTGACCCCGTTAAGAAGAGAGATTTCTTTCCGCAGCTGCACAGCTTCTTGGTGCTCCTCGTGGGCCCGGGAGCTGCTGTTGCTGCTGCTTCTGTCATTTTTGCCGGATTCCTCAATTGGAAGATATTCAGTCCGCAAATTAAGAGGCGGAAAGTCCTTTCGGCCTTCCATCACGGTGCCGGCATGGATCCGCTGCCGATGCCAGCTACGACAAAAGAGAAAACAGGACTGAAACTCCAAGACATGCCTGCTTCCTAGGTAGGATGCAACTGGCCACTTGACCGAAAAAAGTAGCATTGAACTCTCACAAAGTACTTATTACAAGGATGCTGATTTTGACCCATCTGAAGATATGAAGCCTTAATGTGCAAGGGTAAAACAAGAATCCATACACATTGTTTTGTGGTGGATCTCTGGTAAATACTGAGAAAGTCTTAATGCTGAAGTGTATACTTTTTTCCTTTGCAAAACAGATTTCAATACGGACTTGTATGTAGCCAGATGCAAGTAATGGAAATTATTTTTTTCTCAGTTAAAAAAAGGAGAGGGAGAGGAGGAATTTTTTTTGGCATGCTGAAAGAGTTTGCTCTTCTTTCTTTCAAGTGATCTCCGTGGCCCCATTCAGGCATTATAGTTACCAGCAAGTATGGAATTACGCCAAGTAACTCCACCTTCAGTACTGCACGTGTCAGACAGGGAGGGAAGCTTTCCAGTGAAAGCCGCTAAGAGCACGGAAAGAGCCCTGCTGGATCAGGTCAGGCCTGCCCAATCCAGCATCCTGAGCCCCAAACGGCCCAGTGGCTGCCTGCAGGAACCCACAAGCGGAATCTCAGCAAAACGGCACCATGTGGGCAAGATCTGCAGCACCCGGTGTACAGAAGTCCACAGGCTCTGGTCCGTGGGAGGCAGCAAGGAGCCATCAGGAGTAGGAGCTTCCTCCACGAACTAGTCCAGCCCCCTTTGCAGTGGGTGTCTGTCACAACCTCTCGTGCAAATGAGTTCCAGAGTTCGGCCATGCACCGTGTGGACCCCCTTCCTCCTCTCTGTCCCGAATCTCCTGGCAATCTGCTTCCCAGGATTACCCTGGGCTCTAGTATTAGGGGAGGAGAGGGAAAAGCCCCTTCTCCACTTTCTCCACACTCTGCGTCCTTGTGAACACTTTTATCCTGCTTCCACTTACTCATCTTTTTTCTAAGCTAAGTATTCCTCACAGGAGAGTTGCTCCTATGTTCAAGGAACTACAGAACCCTAATCCAAGAAAGCTCCAATTGGAACATCTCTGCACATAAAAACTGTTCCTTCCTGCAAACTTTCACTGTGGCCAGGAGGAACGGGTACTGGAGTATTTGGAGCAGGAGTTCTTAGGGGCTGAGCTATTGGGTGCAGCCACAGGGATGCATTCAGCTTTCCCATAACTAGAATCCCTGAGCAGGGCTCACAAGTATAATCATGCATATGTTCTGGCAAATGGGCTACTAGCCTTTGTGGATTTACTAGCCAGGCTATTCTGCAGGTTATTGTTCATTTCCTGCTGCCTTGATCATGATCAAGGGTGATTGGGAATTAAGATTTCTTCTCAGCTAAAATCCAATTTTCCCTCTCCCAGGGTTCCACGGATGCTGGCATGGCTTACCAGCCAACTGTTCGTTGCAGTTGCCGTTAACCACCTTCCCTGGATCGTCTGGCAGGCCGAGATGCTTGGCAGAGGAGGGGCTCTGCTCTCATTTTTCATACCTGCTGCAAGGGAAGGAGTGTTTGTATTGCCCCCCTTCAAGCAGAAATGAGCATCTCCGGAAGCCTGCTCTCCAGCAAAATGGGGATCCCATTCTTGGGATGCTGCTGAGTGAAGGCTTGGGAGCTTCTCCCTGTCCTAAGCATCTGCCTTGAGAAGAGACCAAACTCAGCTGCAGAGTAAGTGCACTGCTTGCGAAAGATTTCCGGGTCCATCACGGGATCCCTTGTAAAGGAGAGAGCCACTGCATGTTGGTGGGGAGAGGCCTGTTCTCCCCTGCAGAGGAAGGCAGGATGCGCTCCAGTGGAGCAAAGCTCAGGGAGCCAAGGTTCCATTTGGATGCCAGGAAGCACTTCCTGACAGTCAGGACCCCGAGGGCGTGGAAGGGGCTTCCACGGGAGGTGGCTGAGGCCCCAGTGGTGAGGCTGTTCAAGGATAGGCTGGACGTGCACATGGTGGACATGTCGTAAGCAGAGCCGGCTGGAGCCGGGGGTCAGACTAGATGGCCCAGGAGACCCCTTCTTACTCGCTCTGTTTCTATGTTTCTATGTTGACCTGGGATGTGGGAGATCAAGGTTCTAGTCCTCAGTGAGCCATAGAACCCAGTGAGTAACCCTGGGCCTGTCACTGACTCGGTCTAAGCCACCTCACAGGGTTGTTGTGAGGATAACTTCCACCTTCCTCACAGGGCTGTTGTTGTGGGGATAAGAGTGAGAGAAGGAAGACAATGGTGTAAGCTGCTTCAAGTTCTTTAAAAAAGAGAAAAAGAAGGATTCAAATCCAGTAAATAATAAGGTACAGAGGCGTCTGTGAACCAGCCTGAGTACTTTTCAAGAGGAAAGAAGGCAGGGTAACAACGTAATAAATTAAATCTCAAGAATTCCAGGGCCAAAAGCGGCCACTTGGGAGACGTTTGGAGCAGACCGTGACAAACCAGGCAGAAGATATGAAGTTCATTCGAACGTCTCAGACAAGGCCATTTCACACTTAACGTCTTCTGGCCTCAGCATAGAAAAATGTCATTTCCAAATAAGCTCCCTTCGAGGAGCACAATGATTGAGGATGCCCTGCAAAAGCACAAACTCCAGAAGCGGAAGGAATTTATGGAGCTATGCCCCTGGAGTGGCTTTGTGCTTTAGATTAGCATAAAACAACAACCGAGGATGAATGCGTAAAAACAACCGAGTAATATCTGAATTATTTTAGGAATGCCCTTCTGCATTTTTAGAGCACTCTCCACTAATCACAGATTTCATGCAACCCCCATTCATTTCAGATCACACTGAATATTCAGGTCATAAATTGGATTTTACTGCATTCCAGACATCCAACAGCCAAAGCATCCAGTTAGTCCAGCGACACTTAGACAGCTTAATCCCCTATCCAAATTAATTGGTCATTTCCACTTCTTGCCACAACACAGATTCATTAATGTAGAGCAGTTCCTGTGGAACGTGTGTGTGTGTGTGTGTGTGTGTGAAGAAGCCTGAACACTACTTGGCAGAAGAAAGGGTTTGAGACACCAGGTAGAGTACAACGGTATTTGCACGTAAAGCCAAGCCATGGCAGTTGTGGCTTGTCGTCACGTGTGAATACTGGAAGCGGGCTGAAACAGGGCATGTGTGGGTACCAAGAAGCACCACGAGAACCAGAGCTGTGTTCTCAGGTTTTCCCTTTCCAGCATTGAGTCATGACGCCAGCGGCAACGTTTTTCCATGGTTTCCCTGCTTTGGCCAGCAAGCCCAGCGGCTGAGTTGCCCACGGACCAGGCGCCAACGCAGGCCCCTGTGCTCCCTCCTGGCACGGGTTCCCTGCCGCCGGGCGGAAGCACCACCACCAAATCCTCCACCTGGCTGATGGGTCATCTCCCTCCTGACCAGAGCACCTGGATGCTCACCCGACCCACCCGGGGCAGGTATGCATGCAGGTGTGCTGACCCCTCTCCAGCCGCCTAGAGGGCCCAGGGTGCTCACACAGGAGGCTGCACAGGGCGGGCATCTCGGCAGCATGGACCAGTGGTGGGAAGGCGGGCGACTGGCTGGCAGCGCGTGAGCTGGGCCATCCACCAGGCAGCAGATGGGCAGGGCAGCGGGCATTGGCGAACTCACACTGGCTGGGAGGCCAGGGAGCCCCCCAGCAACAACCTCGGGGTGTGGCGCTCCGGCCTTCTTGCCGCTCAGCTGTGCTTGCTGAGCCATTGCGCTCTGCTGAAGAGCAGACCAGGCCCGCTGCAAGAGAGCCTGGCGCTGCCTGGCCACCACCTGCTTGCGCACCTTGCCCAAAAGCAGATGCTCGCTATAGGTCCTCGTGTCCAGACTGGGCTTTTTTAGGAGTGGTGTGATCACAGCACCCTCTGAAGACACAGAGCGAGCTAAGCCCGCTGTGCACCACTCAGACGCCCACTGGGATGCACAGAAATGGCCCCCTGCCCCATAACACTGGAGACCCCTCCACTGAGAGGGTGCAGCGTGGGAAGGATTCCTCCCCACCCTTGCCCGATGGGGAAGGAACCCCGGCAGGCCAACCTGGTCTTCAGGGCAGAGACTTCTCTGCCCCAGCTTAGTAGTTACAGTCACATCAATGTCTGGGCCAGTCATTCCCACCTTCGGTTACCACACCTCCTCCATTCACGGCTAATTACAGAGTCTGCAATTCTATGTTTTAACAGGTGAGCTATCTTTCAATAAAGATGTTTTGAGTTACATGGAAATGGAGGATGTGAGTTTAGTTACTTGGACATGCACACAGTGTAAAATATGAAGAAGCTTAAACACTGAAACTCCTAAGTCCAACATTCAGGGTGCTCCAAATTCAGGCAGCCGATAAACATGCCTGTTATGGCTCAAGCATGAGAGACATTCAGAAAGAAACTGGGCAGCTGCGTGAGTGGGAGGGTGTGGCTTGGTGTCCTGCACCGGCAGGGGCTGGGACCCGATGGCCTTCCTGCCCCCTTCCGACTCTGCTCTTCTAGGATTCTAAGCAATCGATTGTGTGACGCCAGTAGCAAGCCTGCATTCCCCTCCTTTGTGCTTCTAGAGTGCGTTTCTTCACAGTCCATCCCGTTTGTGCGCTGCACTGTTCCCGCTTTAGGCGTGTGCTGGGCTGTTACCAATGGCCGAGAGCACAGTGCAGCCGCTGCCAGGCACCCAAAAGCCAAGCAGAGGTGCTTGTTTCTTGCACGGCGATGCCAAAGCACAGAAAGGGTGCACAAGTGCATGTTTTCCTCCCAATGCAGGAAGCGCCACAGCCTTGATCGCCCACCAGAACACTATGGGGTGCTTATTCTGAGGAGAGGGGAAATTCCTTTCTGGGAGAACATGACTTGGGGGTGCAAAGAATGGTGTGACTAACTGGGGGCGGCGGTTGACTTGGAAAGTGGTGGCCCCACCTCTAATTTGTACTGGGTTTGTCCTCCTAGGCAAGCCGCTTCTCTCCATCTAACCCAGCTCACTGAAGTTAGTCAGATGCCTGTACAGAACCTGGAAGTACGAAAGTACGCAAGCAGAACCTTCACGTGTCACTACTGTGTCTGCAATTTATCCCATTCCAGCAGCTCTCAGACTCCCCCGCCTTTCACTCTCTTAATTCTCTCTTCTTCAGACTTTTTGACTCTTAAAGTTACGTAGTTATTTTCCCTCTCCAGCTCTAACTAATCAGGAAAGTAAGGTTCTTGCTCACCATTGCCCTGCATTTATTTTTCAGAATTCTTCTCCTGGCCTTCAGCCCAACCAGCTTCAAACACTTTTTTCTTCATTCCCTGCAGATTTCCAGGCCATTCCTATAAACTAACTTCAACAGGTGACGTTCTGGCTGAAACTGACAAGTAAGCACACGGGAGTGCAGGCTGAAGACAGTGTTGTCGTTCGCACGATATGGATAAACACACACACACACACACACACACACACACACAGAGGAAGGGATGATATACTATCCCTGCCTTTTTGGATGTCAAGCAGACACAAGACTATGCTCATTTAGACCAAATAAAGTGCTACATTCCCACAATTCTGCAACCAGCATTGCGCTGCCATCCGATTTTCCCCATCTCCCATCAACTCTTGCACAAAAGGCAAAAAGTCTGCTGCCAGAAGAGGTGCTTTTGCTGCTCCCAATCCTGACCTGAGCGCAATTCAGTTGGAATTTCCAACCTGCAGCGGCTGAAGCGCAATGCAGCTCCGTGAGGTTTAAAAGACAACTGTTCCTTACATGGGAAAGGAAAAAAAACCTGTCAGCCTTTAAGCTTAACAAGTTGCATCATATCTAAACAGACCAGTTACAGTTGTTTTGGAGCTTTGTTAAATGCAACAAGCAATGGGGCTTGACAAGGTTCGCTGTCACCTGGAGCAGGGTCATGCAAGGTGAAGTTTGCCCCAGTAACCTGAGCAGCTCTCAGGAAAGACAACAACTCCAGAAGTGTTTGCCTTCTAAATAATAGAAATTGGTTTCAGGTACACCACACCACGCCATCCAGAGGCATGGATGTTTCCTACTCCTAGGAAGCACTAACTTCACAACGAGCACCACATCTTGCTCCCCCAAAAGGAGAACAGGCAAAAAACCATTCTGGAGAAAACAACACAAGAATGGTGCCCCTGAATTTTTGCAGGCACTTTAAAAAAATTGCACTTGTCAACATTCAGACCCCAACTGGATGAGTAAACAACCCATGATTTGCTGTGAGCTTGCTGGCTCTTGATAGCTTTACCCATTCACACTAAATAACCCGGTTTCTGGGTTGTTCAGTGAGTCGTCCGAACGCAGAGCTCTGAGTTAAGAAAATGTGAGCCCAGCAACAAGTCATGGGTTGAAGTTCTGGGTTATTTCTCCCTCACAGGAGCCCTGAATTCATTCATCCAAACTCCATTCTTCTGGGCTTGGATGTCATTGTGCCTGCATTGCTTAGCAAAGGGGAAGCAGGCAAGCAGGTGGGAACATGAGGGAATCTTGGAGAGCTGAGTCAGCTGCAGGGTAAACTATACAGGGAAACAGATGGACCAAAGATCCAGCTCTGTGTAGAGCAGCTGGTCATGCTGGTGAATGAAGAAGAGGAGGGATTTAGGCAAGTAAGGGCTACTTTGAATGTTTGCTGCAGATGCAAACAAAAAACAGCGTCCCTGTCATTGTACTGACTGCACTGTGCTTACCACCAAGCAGCACAAAAGAAATGTATTTTCATCATGGAAAGAGCAAGCTTATGTTGGAGGGGGGTCCCCAGGGGTATCACAGGATCCCCAGTTGCTGCCTCTCCCCCACCATCTCTTGAGGGACTTAATTTTGCAGGGTCGAGGCTGGCAGGTGCCACTGTGCCAGAGTCTCGAATTTGCCAGGTTAAGAACAGGGGCGTTTTCTGAACAGCTCCCAACCATTCTGGGGAGCTCCCTCTCCAGAGAGGCCTTCCAGGCAGGAGCTTTCACAGAATCTGCTCCTGAGCCCTCAGGTCTCCTTGGAGGGCCTTCTTAAGGAGTCCCCTCTAAAGGAAATGAGCAAACACGGGGCTACAAGAAAAAGGGGCTTCTCAGCAGTGGCACCCTGACTTTGGAATCAGCTCTCCAAAGAGGTTTGCCTGGTGTCTTCTCTTTCTTCTGGTGCCAGGTGAGGACCTTTTTATTTACCCAATATTTTAACTGTTAAGGTAATTTTAAAGATTTTATATTTTAAGCTATTTCTTTATATTTTAATACTATAGTATCTTTTAGTGTACTTTTATTGGTTGAGAACTAAGGTTTTAGGGAAGGTATTGTGATGTCTTATTGCAGGCGCTTTTGCATTAATTGCTGTGATTTTATATTGTAAAATTAGTATTTATTTTATTATGCACATGGTGTTTTATAGTACCTCTTGCAACCTGCCCTGAGAGCCATTTGGGCTAAAGGGACAGGACAGAACTCAAATATATAACTAAATAACAAATAAACATGTGGTCAGCTTGTCATTGCTGCTCCAAACCCACCTCCCGTCCCACAGGTTGCCCTCAACCCCTGACATCAGCAGCAAGTAATTTCAGTTATTGCAAGTACCACTTTTCTGTAATGTACTTGCCCCAAGCTCAGCAACCGTGATGGCAAGTCACACTACTTAAGAATCCAACTTTGGTCCAAGGGCTTCCAATGGCTGCCAAATCTTGGCTTAAGATTAAAAAAAATAAACTTTTCAGAGTTATGTCAGAATGAAGGACAGGGGGGGAAAAAGGCTTGGAAAACACTGATTCCATAATCCTCTTTACAGACAAACTTGAGACCCATTCATTTCAGTGGGTCTACTCTAAGCAGGATTAATATTGCAATGGGTCCACTAAGTAGGGCTAAGTTTGGAGTCACTCAAAGGATGTAAACTTAAGTACACTTACAAGGAAGTGGCTTTGACTCATTTCAGTGGGGTTTACTTCTGAGTAAATATGGTCATACTGAAAGGTTCTACAGCAGTCCCTGAGATTTTAGAGGGTGGCTCAGCAAAATTTCCACCTGGGATTTATAACGGAGCAGGCAATGCCAGAGTTGAAGCAGCAATGAGAATAAGAGCCCTTTTTGTGCTTACTCCTGAAGCAGAATGAAAATTCTCTTTCTGGCTGAACTCCTGGAGCTGTGAGCCATCCAGGAATTCCCTCACAGGGGGAACAATACCCCCACACCTACAAACTCTAGATCCTTTGGAGTATCAGGTCTGTTCTAACCTTAACCAGGTCTGAAACAGGTGAGCTCATTCCTTCCTCCTTTTCTCCTTGCTTTTATGTCAGTGAATGGAGCCACCTCTCCATTCAACTGTAGGAAAAGCGGGAAAGGAGGTGGAATTGGACTCTGAGGACAGCACAACGTTCCCTGGAGAAAACAACATGCAATGCCCCGAGAAGGCTGAAGTGGAGAAATTGCAACTCCAAAAAAACAGTGGCAGCAAAATGAAGGGGCTTGACCCAGATTGCGCCTTCCACAAGAAGAGGGGTTGCACCACCTGGCTTGGCCTCTGGCCGCAGAATTGCTCACCCCGTTCAGCAGCAACTCCTGGATCCCAGGAGCATTTCCTGGGGGCTGGGAAGCTGCCGAGGGAAGCAGAGCACAGGCAAGGCCAGCTGTGTGCGCACGGCCGGCCGGCAGAGCACAAACCCGGCCACCGTCCTCGGTTTTCACTTGAGATGAGCTGAGCCTTCCCTGGGAGAATTTCCCCGGGGGAATTACTTCTCTGCGCATCTTCATGCATTTGTGGGTTTTACTTTTCACAAACTGCACAGTGAGCTTTGGCTACGGGATAGGATAGATGAATGCAGGAGAGCGGTCTTGTTCCAGGACAAATGCAAAAGAGAGCAATGTCCAGCCCAAACATACCGCTGCCCAAGGCAGGGAAGCAAGCGAGCGCTCGTTCCCCTCCCCGAGTTATCAAGATGCAGATTAGTCTTCCGAAGCCATTTAGCACCAAAGCAGCAAATTTCAAAAGCGCCACCCCCTCACCTTCTCAGCAAATAAAACAGAACAATCACTTATTGAGCACTGACAAAGAGGGATCTGGGGGCATCCTAAGGACAAGGGGCCCGATCCTATCCGCGTTTGCACAGAAGAGAGTCCTCCAACTCCCAGCTTTCCCCAGACAGCCACGGGGAACTTTGGGAGCTGCAGGCCTGCCTTCGTGTAAACCTGCAGAGCATCGCACCTCCACGGACCAAACAGCTTTTACGTTGAGACCTCAGCATAAAGGAGCTTCTGGGGGCTCTCACCCCCGCAGCTGCTCGTGCCAAGGGACATTTAAAAAGCCAAGTCAGCAAAAGCCCTTTCCTTTCCACAACCCAGTTCAACGACCTGGAGCAACCAGCCTCAGCCGCCCGCAGGTGTCCTCCCAGCAGCGCCTTTCCTCCAGCTGTGTTGGACTTCAAGTCCCAGCATCCCCATTCAGCCTGGCTGGAGGGAGGGCCACGTTCTGCAGAAAGGGCAGGGGCCGGGCCGGGCCGGGCCGGGCCGGGCCGGGCCGGCACGAGACGGGGCGAGCCAGGTGGCTTCAGGTGGCTGGGCTCGAGTTGCGGGTGGGGATGATGGGAGGCCGGTTCGCGGGGAAGGGCACGGGCCGGCGCCGCCATGAGGCAGAGCAAGGCGGGTCACCTCAAGGAGCCGGTTGCGGGACGTTAAAGGGCGGGCGGGCTGAGGATGGTTGGCCTTGTAGTGCAGCGCACCTGGAGGGCACCGCGCCGCAGGCGGGAGGCGCTCAGCGTCCCCGTCGGCCCAGTCGCCTCTGCCGGAGAGACCCCCGCCAGGGGCGCAGCGGCCGGAGAACGCGGTGCTCCCCTCCCCGCCGCCGCCGCCGCCCGAGCTAGGGAACCCCCCGCCACGGCCGCCCGCCGCCCGCCGCCCACCTCGCCTCCGCCGGGCGCCTCTCCTCCTGCCGTGCGGCGACGCGCCGCCGCCCGCGCTGCTGCTCCCCCCGCGCGCCCGGCCGACCTCTCGCCGAGCGGCGGCTGCTCCGCCGGCGGCGCTGCCTGGTTTTCCCCTGCGAGGGCGGCGGGGCGTAGACGCGCCATAAATGGAGAGGCGCCCGGCGGAGGCGAGGTGGGCGGCGGGCGGCGG